CATGCTTCATTCCAGGTGGAAACGTTGCATCTTCCTTATATATTTTCTGGGCTCGATGTTGAAGGAAGAGAGAAAAACACCATAACCCTCCAATCGCTTATAGTGTAGAATGGAAAGAATAAAAGTCCTAAAAAGTATGGAAAGGCCACCTGAAAATATTCTAACCTGAAAATAAGCCATGGAGTAATGTTCTTTATAGCAAAGTCAGGAAGGTTCTCATACGAAGATCTATTCAGGTGGGGGGGGAGAGATGGGGGAAGAGAGAAAGAAACTGCTTGTCTGGAAGACCCTGTCTTTATTTGCTGATGATGTAATTACTCCAGAAAAATCACATAGAATTACAGAAAGATTTTGCAGCACTGGGTTAGGGGTAGATGAGGTTGTTGCTGATAAAAGGGCAGGTACTGCAGATAGCAACTATATGTTATACTGGGAAAAGAGAAGTTGGGATAGTTGTAAAGATAAGGAGGTCAGTGGGAAAATCCAGCGAGAACCAGAAGAGAGCAGTAACCTAACACAGACTTTGGTAACAGAGCCTAGATATTAGGGTCTTCCTCTCATCACAGAAAGGAGAAGTGATGGAGAAATTTTAAATATATGCCTGGTGAACAAGGAGGCTGAAGTGTAACGAAGTAGATCCCCTAGTATTTCACTGGTATGCATAAATGGTTCATTTTTACAGTGAAGTGGTTTTACAGATAGAAGTCCATGAGAATCTATGCTATTACTGTGTAAAAGGGCTAAAATAATTACATGATTTTCTGTTGAGCCAGAATTATTCAGAACAGACAAAACCAGGACTGACTGGGAAAGTGCAGGAAGCTGTAGGATTAAGTGACAGAACAAAATTTACTTTGAAAATTTCACACTAGATGTAAATCTATTCCTGAGGAGGTAGCGCGTGACTATTATTGCTCAGAAGCCTTTCTTGGAAACATCAGATGGAGATCTCAGAAGCATTAGTTCGATGCTTGACAGCTGTCAAAAAAGCAAATAGAGTATTTGACAATTTTCAGGAAAGACATTCAGTAATATAGGGCTGTCTCTGCTGGAGCTGGCACTGGTCTTCCCTGTGCTCCCTGGGTGCAGTTCTGGTTAGACTGTGCCTCAAAAAGGTGTAGTGCGGGCTAGGGTGGAAGGAGTGCTCAGAGGTATGGAACAGCTTCTGTACAGGGAAGACATGAAATACATGCTAGAGCTCTCTACCTTGGAAAAGAGTTGACAGGAGAGTGAAATGAGACAAAAGTGATAGATTGAAATTATTACTGATATTATTTGAATAGTGATATTATAATGATATGACTCATAAGGCAAGCATTACAGGCACAATAAAATGATCAAGGAATGACTCTTGAATAGATTTTTTTTTCCTGATATATAATGCTAGTCTACAAACTTTTGCCACTGGATATTTTAGATGAAAAATATATAAACAAATAAAGAATAATTGTCTAAATGTGCAGTATTTCCTTACACAACAAAATGCAGGATGTCCTTCTTTGCAAATTATTGTGGGGAAGACTGATACTTATATTCTTTTTAAACATATAGTGATCATTGCTGGACAGAGTTTCTTCTTTTAAATGATGCAATCCAGTAAAAAAGCTTTTCTGTTCATATAGATGTCTTAGGAGATGTCAATCTTAATGATTATTCAGTAGGCCATCTGGAATAGGGAGACTTCATCAGCAGTTTCCACTGTTTTGGACACTCTGTTTGCTTGTTAGTCCTGACTTCTACCTAGAATTGTCCCAAAACATGGGACTGCCTGGGGGGTTATGCTGAAATGTCTCTAACATACATTCTGTAGAACTGTCTTGAAGCTGTTTGCTAGAAGACAGTTGTCTCAAAGGCTGATTCAAGCAGAATTGGAAGGCAGTAGCTCATTATTTAGATATTTTAGGTCAATAATGATAGTAGCTTTTCAAACTCTAATGCAGGCTTTGAAGCTCTTTTATAGCTCTGCAAAGATATCTCAAACTGTAACATAACGTGGATTTATTTTTCAGTCTTATATGAATCTGCATTGTATTTTTCACATTATATTTGAAACTACGGGTTGTGATACAGTGTTGATTTTTTTTATACATTGTGTGAACTTTGCATCTCTGTTTAGCTAACCAGCATTTAAAAATAATGGCTTTGATCTCCTTGTGCCTATTGGCCCAGTATCTGACCTATCCTGTTTGTAAAATGAAGGTATGGTCAGATTTACAAAGATTCAGAAATCTCTTAACTGAAATAGTGAGTCTTGTCTTCAGATTGTTGAATCCTTGGGAGGATTTTGTTTTGATTGTTCATGATTTCCAATTTGTGTATATGGTACACTCAGTTGAATGATCTCAACAAAATCAGAAGTTATTTCCATTAATGAAACCATGTGTGAATGTGCACATTAACAGGCCTGGTGCTCTCTGGGGACTGGTGGCTTGACAAAGCTTTACTGAAATCTTACTTTGTGCTTCTCTGGAAGTGGTTTATTTAAATTATTTTATTTCTCCTTAAACACGTATGATAAACTACATGACGATGTTTGTACTTCCTCTTGAGAAATTCTAAGTGCTTTCTCTGATAGTATTAATGGATGCTTAGAGTATTTTTCATGTGTGCAGCCTTCTCTGAAACATTCAGGATTCTCTTTTGAGGCATCCTGCCTGAAAAAAAGCTCAGCACGAAAGGTCTCTGCCTAAAAAAAACACCGAACCACGTGTTTCTAAAACTTTCTAACTCATGCAAACTGCTTCAGAAAACCAGTCAACTTCCAGCTTGTAAGCAATTGTGTGACTGAAAACAAAAGGACATCTTTTTGTAAGATTTCTGAAGGACATAACCATAGGTAGTGTCTACATTTTCACATTTAAGAAAAAGATTGGTTTCAGTTTCAGAAAGACTTGAAATGCGAAATACAAATGAAACAGCCTTTATGTCTTGGGAGTGATGCATTTCATCTGGTCTATAGCATTAGAAATGTATTTAAGACTTTAGTGTCTAGGACTTAGTTATGTTTTGTATACAAAAATTGTAGTGTATCTATGAATATGTAATAGGAAATGTAAAGGTAGGAATTGACATTTAAGATATTCATTGGCTTTTCAAATGAGTTGTTGAATTATGATGAAAAAAGTATATTTAATTCTTTTGAAGTAGCAGTAGTTTTTGTTGGAAGCCATCTTCTGTTGAATTGAATTGGTTCACATTATTTTAGATTCCAAAATGATCTATGAAGGTTATGTGCTTTGCAAAAATACGGTGTGTTTGAAATTCAAAACATGCTACAATCTCCAAATTAGGACTGCCTTTTCTATAAACTATCTTTGCAGGCGTATAATTTGATTCTTCATATATTTTCTCTTTTTTTCAGCTTTTTCAGTAAGCTTAAAATTCACTTCGACTTACTTTTAATTTTGTTCTCAATATTGGTTGTGGTAAACTGCAATGGCTCCACATTTAATCAGCTTAATATTAAGACCTAAAAAACCCAGGAACTTTTTCAGATTTTTTTTTACTGACTAAAGAAACGCTTCTCAGTTCTGTGTGTATTTTGCAAATATATGCTCCAATGGATTTGAGAGTACTAGACCAGGTTTGGTTTGGGTTTCCAGCAAACATTTAGGAAACCAAATTGCTGGTCTGAACTGGTATTTGAATATTTCCTTAACTCATGTATTAGTATTATGTCTTAAATACCGTCATTTTATCTTACTCATAAGAAATACCTGTAAGAGATGATAAAACAAATGAAATTTAGTAGAAACATCTGTGAGTTTGTCCACTATACTGCTTGTGATCTAATGTGGGGAAAAAAAAACCACAACCAACCCAAACCAAACATGAAAAGTAGCTTATATGTTACAGTACAAACAGCAAAGTAAGAGTAAAATGAGAGAGAGAGAAAGAAAATGCAGACATTTCCTCAGTGTGCATGTGTGTGATCAGCATATCTACAATGAATTATTTGCTGTCTCTGGAGGCCCAGAGTTTCTCTTCAGAGGGAAAAGCAGACATAAGGACTTCTCTAAGAGCAAATCTCTATTGCTTTTGTAGAACAGGAGTCTGTCACTCACAGAGGACTTGTTTACACCCAGGGTTGCTGCTGTAGTGTCAGCAGCTCCGGGGGTGTTGTGTTAGCATAGGTGCAGTGGGTAAGCTCTTGTGGAGAAAGCACTTCACGTGCTCAGCTTGGGAGGTGTTGGACTGCAGCTCTGTGTTTTAACAAAGCAGAGCAGAAGAGAAAAACAACAGGGGAACCTCTATTTTGTTGAAGGCATTATTAATGATTCCCAAATAAACATCAGTGATACTATCTGCGATGCATTATTGACAGTAGGTTTACTTCTGTTGATTCATTAGCCTAATTATTTAGATATGATGAAACACAATGACTGTTTTAAGTGCAAAGAAGCTGCAGTTAGCAAGCAACTAGCCAAATAAGTGACGGAGGATGGTAAAGAAGTTGCAGGTATGGGAAGTATGACTGAAGAAATTGCAAAGACTGATTAGAAAAATACACGAGATGCCATTTCTCACTGCTACAAGTACATTTGAGGGCAAACTGCTGGTTCCTGAGTAGATAACGGTCACAGAGTTTATTGGATTTTTTTTTTTCCAGTAAACTATTCTTCTTTGCCAGAACATCTGTCTGAAGTGAACTCCAAGCCTTCATTGCAGCCTTTGATACATCAGGTTTGCCAGTGGTTATTGCTGCATCTGTGACTTCTAAAATTATCTACAGATGGGCTGGCTGGAGCTTACCAGGAGCCAGCGCTCAGCAATTTGGCTGGTATACTATCTTTTAGTGGAGCATCCTGAGGCTGGAAATTAGTGCCTGTAAGGTGAATTAACTGTTCTGCACTGGGAAGGGGAAGGAAACTACCTGAAAACTACTTCTACTGTAGTTGAGTAAGAGCTGTTTTGAATGTCAAGTTATCCCCTTAACCCTTTGATTAAAATAATTTCTTTTTTATAACCAGAATAGTAAAATAAATATAGAAAAACCTTCATAATGTAGAAGATATATTTAAAGCTCTATTCTAGTTAGGGATAGATGGTTTTGTAACTAAATGTGTTTGTCAGGAGAAAATAAGGGCTGCAGGCATCCTCTCAGTTGTATGCAGGAAGCTGTCTTCATGCATCATTTTTTCCCCATTAGCTGTAAAAATAAGGAAGATGCAGTTGGTTTAGGTGTTGGTTTGGGGTTTGGTGGAGTTTTGTTTGCTTCCCCCCGTCCCCCCCATGATATCAATGTAAATCTAGGGAAAAGAGTTCTCTCAGGCAACAGGAGACCAGATATTTCATCATAGAAGAGAAAATTTTAGAAGTTTTTTTTAGTATCTGTGACTTCATAGTTTATTCATAAATTCATGTTTCTATTTTATTATGGATTATATGACTTTCAATATTGGCAAGGCTTTATGTAATTTTATCCTAGTTCTATATTAAATAATTGCAAACTGGGAGATTCTCTGACTAATAGGTAAGGAGGAGTCCTTTGCACTGGGTGTTTAAAACATAGACAAAAAAACCCAGCCCAAAACCCAAACACAAACAGATGAAGCTTCCACCATTTCTTGCTACCATTGTCATGCTTTGCCCTCCTAAGTTAAAAGCTTAAGAAGAAGAACATCTAACCAGGCACTCTAAGCAACCGGGCAAGCGGTCAGGAATGGTTTTTAATAAACTTGGGTTATGATAAATATTTACCTTATGCTGAATCTGTTCTGTAGTGCACTGCAATATGAGCTTATCCACTGTTAAGTGCATATGCTCTGTGATTCTTCCAGCATGTGTGCACCTTGCTTTCATGCATATATTCTTGGATCAGAAGCAAACTAGAAATGTAGTGATTCATTCTGGTAAATGTCTGTGTGAAGCAGTTTCCTACAGTTTGACTGAAGGTTTCTGCTTAATGGCATAATTCTTAGGCTAATTCTTGGTTCAAAATCCTCTTCTAGTGTTTACCACCCATCAGAATGCATAATCTACTATATTTAGAACATAAAACTTAAGTGGTAGGAGAGTACCTTTCGTTTCCCATGCTTCTTGTTAGATTTAAAAAACTCTTAGGTTTTTTTTTTAACTGAATTTTCTACTCCTCGTGAAATTCATTTAGAAAGTCCATTTGATATTTTCATTTGAAAAGTGCTAAATATGTATCATGCAGAAAAGCACACACTCCCCATCTTTGGTTGCTAACAGCTCATTGTAGGTTACACTTTTGTTTGTTTTTAATGAGAGCAAATTATCAGTTGTTGAGCCAGGGGAGATGTGTAGATGGGCTAAAAAGATTAATGTGGTATTAGTAATGAATTTACGGCAGGCACTGGAGTTGAGAAGATTAAAAGCTGACATTACCAGATGTGTGTGTGGGTATAGACTGTAAACTGCAAAGTTAGCTAACTAAGAAAAAAACACTTAAGCGATAGATGTGATTAGAATTTTTTGGCACTTCCTTACAAATAGTCAAGGTACTTTAAAATAAAAGTTTCTGCACAAGAAATATGTTGCTTTCCAGCCAACAGTGCCAGATAGTGAATCTCTGCCCAATAAAAAATGGGTTTCCACTTAGCTCAGTCAGGGTTGTATGCTGGACAAAGAGACTGTGCACACTCTTCATCTTACACTGGAGCCTACAAAGCTGATATTGATCCAGTTGCTAAATTGGGCCCTTGCTGCAGCAACTCAAAGGCACTGCTGCAAAGACATCTCTCAGAAAAACACAGGAGATGTTATAAACTTTTTTGTTTAAATAAAAAGTTAATCAAAAGACATTAAAAAAGGTTATTTAATATTAGAATTTATTGTTTAAAGATGCTACAATGTATAACAGTAGGTACTAACCTGAGAATTTTTGAGCATGGGCTGTAGTTTTTACTGTTCATTGCTGCCTGTTTCCTTTGGCATTTCTTTCCCTTTTCTGTGCTTTTGTCTCAGTAAAATTAAGATAATAATTAAACTAAGTTAATGCTTGGCTTCCTTTTGTAAAGTGCATTGATTTATAAGCAAAAGAAATTACTTCTTAAATAAAACCCCACTCCTATATTGTGTAGTGATTCTACATTTGAATTCATACTTCTGTGTTTTTTTTAACACAGAATTTTTATTAAAATAATCTTGTGTACCTTAGTAAAATTAATAAATTTGATGAATCTAATTATTAGGTTAAAATACTATGTCAGTACTTTCACTTGTAATACATGCAATATTATCAAATGCTATACACAAAAATTCTGATTCTGTCTATACTATCAGGGAGCTCAGTAATCATCGTGTTAACAGCACTGGCTGCTTTGTGCTGCTCCTGTGTACTCCATTTACTGTTCCCGTAGACTTGCATCATTTGCCTGCTATCTTTGTTTAGGTTACCTGGTTCTTTCAACCATTCTTGTGTCTTACCCCTTATAATTGTCTTTATGCATTGTAACTGAAAAGTTTTCTTTTTACAAAGTTGTAAGGTCTTTACCGAAACTTAAGAATACTCATGGCAAAACTGACCCCCAGATTATTCTTCTGTATCTTTATTTTTTTAATTTTTATTTTTTAATATATTCTTCCTGATAAAGACAGTACAATGAAATAAATACTGTAAATAGAAAATGTGGGACTTCCTCATCTGAACTCTTCCAGATGGTGAGTCTGTGAATCCACTTTCATCTCAAATTTTTGTTTAGGTAACATGCAATTAGTCTACTGTGTAATTAGAAATCATCTTGGTATTTACCCGATGGTAAAAGCAGTGCAGCTACAAAAAAAATTAATGTATTTCCAGGTCTTTAATACTAGCCTCTTCAGAAAACACGTGGTTTGCAAACCAGAATTCATTTGGGACAATGTGTGGCTTTGGTGCTGACCTTATTGAACTATCCTGTGATTATGATTTTTTCCTTGTATTGAAACTAAAAACTTCTTAGATCTGGGCAATTTTGATCCACTTCTCTGTACTCATAATTTCCTGATTGCCCTAAATAAGCTACTCCTTGAAGTCTGAAAATCTTTTCAGCAGGTATATAATTTCTGGTTAGCCAGCTTCTGGCCCCACACCCTGCAGCATTTCCTGAGCATTCTTCTCTCTGTATTATTCTCTGTGTAAGCATAGAGGGAACCATTGGCTTGTGATAACAGAGTAGTGGACATCCATGAAGAATTAAAATGCAAGTAATTTCAGAATGTTCTCAAATCTGGTCTTAACAATTCTGTAGTGTTAACCATACTGAGACAGATGTGGTGATTTGTACTTAATTCCACATTGCTTTTAATTTCAACATTGCTTTTATGTTGCTTTTGTTTTTGCATAAAAAGTAATAAAACATTGACTTGGTTGATAGTTGCATGTGTCTTGATACCAGTTGCACAGAGCAGTTTTCTTTCTTGAAAAGTATTCATACTTCAGGAGAGCTCCAGTTACTGCAAGTATCTATAGTTTATTTACTTTTCTTATCTAAATTCACATTCTCTTGTTTCCCATTATCAAGTGAGAGGCATTCTTAAGCAGAAAAGGTGTTCATCCAGACAGAAAAACAGTAATTTTGCCTGTGTTTTTCATTATTTCCTCTGATGTTATTTTCTCATTTACACTTGGTCCTGCTTTGGATCTGTGGGAGGTTGTTCATGCAGGGGGTTTGCAAGGGGAGCCTGCAACAACCTCCTCCACAGTGATGGTAAACTAAGCTCATAAAAAATTAAACATAACTTGAGACAGATCTTTTTCAGATTGTTCCATTTGTATTTTCTTTTTTCCCAGATTTTTCTTGTAGTTAATGTCATGTAATCATTACAGAAGCCTGTGGAAAGAAGTGTTGTAACATGCACACATTATTCACAAGTCATCATTATTGTGTGTAAAAGAGAAAAATATCTCCGAGTGACTTCTGCCACCTCACAGTCTGCTCAAGCCACTGGCATATGGAAGTTAGGATGAGACTGGTAGAACAGAAAGCAGTCGTAGAAAAATTCATAATGTGAGCTTTGATGCAAACTTGGATTAATTCACCAACCTCAGCTGATTAGCTGCTGCTGTTAAAATTTTGGGGGTTGGATTTGTCTGGAGTTTTTGGGTGGTGGTTTTGTCTTTGTGTGCCAAGATTTCCCAAATGTCATTAGTTCATTTCACATCATGGCCAATCTCCCTTACTCAACCAGCTTGCGTGTCAGCATATACTGGAATGCAGGTGGTTCCCTCTGAACATCAGAAAACACGTTTTTTACTGTGAGGGTGATTGAGCATTGGTACAGGTTTCCCGGGGACGTTTTGGGGTGTCCTACTTTGGAGATACTCAAAAGGTAGCTGGACATGGTCCTGGGCAAACAGCTTTGGGTGGCCTGCTTGGGCAGTGGGGCTGGACCAGACCACCTCCAGAGGTCCCTCCCATCCTCAGCCAACCTGTGACTGATTAAACAATGCAGAAGTGATGGTGTTACAGGTTAATGTACAGTATTCATGTAACCCACTTGTAAAGGTCAGATGCTTTTTGCGTAATCATTACATACTTGAGTGGAGAAGCAAGAAGAGAAAAGGAAAAGAGAGAATATTACCTTGCAGAGTGTAGTGAATGACTTAATTTAATTAGCTAATAGTCGCAACCTTTCATTTACATCGGCAACCACCCTTCCCAGTCTGATCTCCTAACATTCCAAATTGTGACATGTTGTGAAGGGGACCTAATGTCTGTCCCACAGCAGTTACGGAGTTTAATCTTTTGCTTGTTTGAAGGATGAACATTGAATTTAAATGAGAAGAAAATACCCTAAACCAGACAATAAATGCAATGCAGGCTTCTTAATAGTAAGCATCTTTTAGTACAAGGGAGAGATCTCTGTCATTGGAGATCTTAATAAAGAAATAAATAAAAATGGTCCAGCTCTATCAAGGACAGCAGAAATAAAATTTGATTGGAGTAGTGAAATCTCAAGGTGCCATCTGCCCTTACTTAAACACATCTTTAAAGAAAGGTTTGTCAGCTGAATGCATTGAAGAGATAACATCCCCATGCAGAACTGAGTGGGATCCGAACTATTTTTGAAGCCCAATACCCTTATCTAAAAAACGAACAAACAAACCCCACGACACAAAAGTTTGAGTGCTGTAGTCTAGTGTAGCCAAACTGATTAGTTCTTTGCCTTTCCTTCTACCTACACTCCTTGCAAGCAACACTTACCCGAAAAAGAATTTTCACTCTGCTGCTTCCCTTGCTGTGCTAATCACCTGTATCTGAAAATACATCTTCAGAATTGTTTTATTGTGACAGGTCAGCAGATAAAAGCTGGATACCAGGGGGTAAATGGCACTGACTAATAGACTTGCTTTCCGTAACCGAAGCAATATTCCAGAAAAAAAACCTTGGTTCATCATTGGTGTTAGGTTTGAAAATATTACTGGAAAATGAAGTCCTATACTTTGTTGCTGGAGGTGAGATTTTGTCTTACATTCTGGTTTTCTTGTCTCTCAGTTAATTTATGTGATAATTACCACCACAGATGACTGACCAAAATCTTTAATGATAAAACTATAGGAACCTTGGCACCATGGTGAGATTGAGCTATTAGTGTCTTTATGTGAGAGACACAGAGAGTGCTTTGCTTTCCAATGTTGTTTTTTTTCCTTTGTCACATAGCACAGATATACACAATGGAAATGGAAGTATCACAAAATGCTTTCCATCCCTTGATTTTAGGTAGCGGATGGTTTTTGTACCAGTTTGTGTGGCATTTCTATACTGACAATTTCAGCAGTTTCTCATATCCACTCTTGCAGTATTATATGCTCTAAATGCGAGGTCAAAGCCTTTCAAATAGGTGCTCTTCTGGTATAAGAATGTATCAGAACTTCATGGGCAGTTTGAGGTCTGAAATACTCTGAGGTACAAAAGACATCGGCCGTATTTTGATCATTTTCACGCTTGATGGCTTATGATCTAACAGTGCTGTGCTATATATTATCTGTACAAGGTGATTTCCCAGGTTGAACTTAAAAATTACTGAATTATTGATGCATTTTAAGTATGCATTAATGGCTTGGATGTGAATGTCTATATTTAACATAACCACTAATAATCTGGGCCTGCATAGGAAGAATGTGGTCAACTATTTTCCCCATTGTCTCATGTTTATTTCAGTACAAATGTGATTTATAGTAATCTGCTTTTATGACGGGGGGGGGTGGGGGGGGTGGAAATTCGTATCATAGAACGGAATGTGTATATTAGTTTCCATGACCTAGGGATGACTTGAATCAAAATGTTGTTCTTCCTAATAGTTGAATGCCTGCTCATCCAAAAAGAAAAGAATGGGAAAAAAAATATCTTTGAAAGCACTGAGCTGTTAGTTGATTTGGAACAGTAATATCACAGCTTCAACAAAAACGTGCTCTGCTGTGGAGTATGCATATCTAAAGCACCCAGAATTTCCTAGTATTTTCTCCTGAAGCTTAAATAATACTCTTGGTAGTAAAATCCTGGAATGCATATGAGTATGAAGATAATATCCTTTTCACTGTTGGCTGGATCAGGAAGCTTATCTGACTGAAAATTAATCCTTTTTTGTATAGTTAGATTTTTGTTTGCATCAACTTGCTCTGATGTGACTGACTGCAACTGTGGGACCACTAACGCCAAAATCTAGGAATCCAAACCCAGTGCTAAGGAGAGCACTGGGAAGGGCAGCCCTGCTGTTGGGGGAGCTGTCTCTATCCAAGACACAGTGTTTGAATCTCAGCATAGTGTTAGGAAAGTCAGAAAAGAGCTGGTGCATCATCCTTCCCCATTCCTAGAGCCTCTCTTGTTTAAAAAAAAGCCGCCACCAACAAGGACAACCTTGAAATCATGATTTTACACAGCCAGACAGGGGCTTGGAAATTGATGGTCAAAGCTGATACCAACTTAAGTTTTCTTTTAAAATCAGCAATACATTTACAGCAGCTAGTCCATGTTAGGCAAGGTTTGAAAAGCACAGTGCCAGAAGGAATCCCATGCCAAGACCAATGACAAGAAAAGCTTTCTTTAAGAG